CTGCTCTTGTGGTACCTCAAAGGTGAAGTTGTCAGATGTTGTGTTCCATGTCACACCCAAACTTCGCTGGACTGGGAGCGTGTCAACGGTTAGATCAAGATCTTTTATTTCTTTTGCTCTATCGTCGGTGGGGAAAGCACTCACTACTTGCACTTTGTTCGAGGCTATCTTGTGTAGACGTAGGTTGGAGAGCGCAAGCATTTTCTTGGTTCTTTGTAGGACATCAATCGCTTCTGCCTCTGTTGCAAAAGACTTCCACGCATCGTCCACATAGAAATCTTGTTTTACAAACTCACACGCGTCGCTTCCATATTCAGCTGCTGCATCTTTTGCTGCCATCCTCAGCCCGTAGATGGCCACTGCAGGGGAGGGGCTGTTACCAAAGACGTGCACCCTCATGCGATAGTCCACCACATCTTTGGTCAGATCGTTGTCTTCATACCACAGGAAGCGAAGGTAATCCCTGTGATCTTCCTGGACAACAAAGCAGTAAAACATCTGCTCAATGTCAGCTGTGATAGCAACTGGTTCCTTTCTGAACCGGAGTAGCACACCTACAAGTGTGTTGTTAAGGTCTGGGCCAGAAAGCAGGACATCATTGAGAGAAACTCCATCAAATTGAGCACTGGAGTCGAACACCACTCGGATCTTCCCGGGCTTCTGTGGGTGATAGACGCCGAATGTGGGGAGGTACCAGACCTCTTTGTCTCTGGGGTGAGGTGGTGCAAGCTCAGCATGTCTGTTGTCAAGCATTTTCTGCATGAACTCCATGAAATGTGCTTTCATGTCTGGCTTCTTATCGAGCATGTGTCGAAGCGACACAAAACGCTTAAAGGCATAAGACCTGTTGTTTGGGAGAAGGCGTCTTGGGCTCCTAAATGGGAGTGGAGCAACCCAGCTGTTAGCATCATCTTTGTAGAATTGTTCCATCTTTTCTAGAAAGATTAGGTCTTCGGCTGAGTGTGCAAGCTGGTTGTCCTCATTTGTTTGACAAAATACAGTATCGCCCAAGTTTTCAGCTGAGGGTTTTGCTTGTGTGCTTGAAGACAGCAGTGGATTGGAAATGGCTTTGGGTTGGCTTTGAATGAAGCACTCTTTCACATTAAAGCGACTGCTGCAAGGCGTGAGAAAGCTTGGGCGTCCATTATCCAAAACATGTGGTGAAAAGCAGCATCTGCAGTGGGTATCTCATCCCTATTGTTTGGAATAGCATTGCACTCTATTAGCATTGGGAGAGGAAAGCTCATTTTTCCATCAAATGACTGTAAGGCAAGGCAAGGCAAGGCAAGTTTATTTGTATAGCACAATTCATACACAAGGCAACTCAAAGTGCTGAACAAGATAGCATTAAAATCATAAATAATTACAGAACATTAAAACGAAAGATAAAAATATAAAATCCCTCAGTTGTATGCACAGCTAAACAGCACCGTTTTTAACCTGGTTTTAAACATTGTCAGAGAGGAGGCCTGTCTCACATCTTCAGGAAGATTGTTCCAGATTTTAGCAGCATGGATCTGAAAAGCAGCCTCCCCATGTTTAGTTCTGACTCTGGGCACTAACAGAGTCAGTGCCCAGGGCGGCACGGTGGCTGAGTGGATAGCACTCTCGCCTCTCAGCAAGAAGGTCCTGGGTTCGAATCCCGGCCGGACCAGGGCCTTTCTGAGTGGAGTTTGCATGTTCTCCCCGTGTCTGCGTAGGTTTCCTCCGGGTACTCCGGTTTCCCCTACCACTAAAAATATGTCCAATAGTTCTGGCATGCGCCTCCTGTACTGGCGACCCGGCTCCCATCTCTGTGTGGAGTGAGAGACAAATGCCCATAATTAACAATTGTAAACCGCTTTGAGACTCTGATCTGCAGTGAAAAGGCGGTATATAAATACAAACTTACTTACTTACTTACTACTAACAGGAGTCCAGTCCCTGTGCTCCTCAGAGTCCAGTCCCTGTGCTCCTCAGAGTCCGGGCTGGTTCATATGGGACTAACATGTCACTAATATATTTTGGTGCGAGGCCATGGAGAGACTTGTACACAAGCAGAGCTGTTTTAAAGTCTATTCTCTGAGCCACAGGAAGCCAGTGCAGAGACCTGAGGACCGGACTAATATGGTCGTACTTCCTGGTTCTAGTCAGGACTCGAGCTGCTGCATTTTGAATGTACTGCAGCTGTTTTACAGCCTGTTTGGACAGACCTGTGAGCAGGCCATTGCAGTAGTCTAACCTACTGGAGACAAATGCATGGATAAGAATCTCCAGGTCTGCTTTAGACACTATGTTTTTGATCCTGGCAATGTTTTTTAGATGGTAAAAAGCTGCTGATGTTACTGATTTGATGTGGCTATTAAAATTTAAGTCTGAGTCCAGTATTACCCCTAGATTTCTGACCTTGTTTGAAGGTTTTAGGGAGAGAGACTGTAGGTGACAGATGACGCTCTCTCTTTGTTTCTGGGGACCAAAGACAATCATTTCAGTTTTGTCTGCGTTTAGCTGAAGGAAGTTGTTTTGCATCCACTCACTGATCTGTTGGATACAGTGAAGGAGTGAGTCCACTGGTCCATGCTCTCCTGCAGTCAGTGAGACATAGATCTGAGTGTCGTCTGCATAGTTATGATAGGAAACTTTGTTTCTGCGTATTAACTGACCTAACGGCAGCATGTAGAGATTGAACAGAAGAGGTCCCAGGATCGACCCCTGTGGGACTCCACAGGTCAGGGCCATATGATCTGAGACACAGTTTCCAATCTCCACAAAGTACTTCCTGTCTTCAAGGTAAGACCTAAACCAACTTAGGGCGGTGCCAGCGACTCCAACCCAGTCCTCTAGTCTCTGTAAGAGGATCTCATGGTCGACGGTGTCAAAGGCAGCACTTAGATCTAACAGGATTAGGATTGAGACTTTGCCTGCGTCAGTGTTCAGCCGGATATCATTTGTAACCTTGACGAGAGCAGTCTCAGTGCTGTGGTGGGGTCTAAAGCCGGACTGAAACATATCAAATGAGTTGTTGATTATAAGAAATCTAGTAAGCTGTAGGTAGACAACTTTCTCAAGGACTTTCCCCATAAATGGCAGATTTGAGATGGGACGATAGTTGTTAAGTACCGTAGCATCGAGACTGCTCTTTTTTAGCAGGGGCCTGATGACTGCAGTTTTCAGGGCCTTTGGGAATACAACGTAGTCACATGCTCTTCGTCCACTCACTTGTGTCACACCAGCACATGTTTTTAGTGTGTATGGTGTGGTTGTTCCTTTAATGTTGAACATGTCAAAAAACTCTGTCTTTGCAAGTGATTGGTTACTTTGATCGTCTATTATTGCGTACATTGCTTTTGTGTTGTGTGGCTCACCTTTGGGGTGGACTTGGACCAAGCAGATCTTGGAGCAGGACTTTCCTGTTATCTCACTTCCACATACCTCTGTACATGTAGCTGTAACATCAGAGTTCTGTGAAACTTGCTCCCCGCCTTGCTCTTTGGAAGATGAGGGAGGCTGTGTTTGCGGCGCTGGGCCTGGGTGGAGAGCTGCCAGGTGTCTCTCGCTGTCACACTCTTCACACTTAACTGCCACCGTACAGTCTTTGGCTTGGTGAGTTGTAGAAGAAAGACAGCGATAGCAAATGTTGTTTTCTTTAATAAACTTTTTTCTTTCATCCAGCATCATTGTTCTGAAACCTTTGCACCTTTTCAATGGGTGTGGTTTGTGATGTATGGGGCATTCTTTGTTAATATCTTCATTTGTCTCTTGTCTTTTACTTGTCTCCGACACGTCTGTCTTCCGTACTGTGACTGTCTGTCTTTGGCCGTAATTATTTGTCATTTTTTCTTTTCTGTAACCTACAGCAGGATTGACAGGTGGGTTGTAAGCTGTGGTAAAGCTCGGGTCATTCCTTGCTTTGGCTTGGCCTTTCACAAAGTCCACAAAGAATGAGAAGGGGGGGAAACTTACATTATAATCCTCTTTAAACTTTGACCCCACCATTGTCCATCGCTCCTGAAGATGAAAGGGAAGCTTTTCCACAATTGGACTTACACCTCTGGCGGTATCAAGGTAGCTTAAACCTGTTAGATACCCGTCTAGTTTTGCAGCTTCTATTTCACACAACAGATCAGACAGGTCGCGAAGCTTGTGAGGCTCTTTGCTCGAAAGTTTTGGGAAGTTCTGTAACTTTGTAAACAGCGAGTTTTCTATGGCCTCTGGTGAGCCATAGCATTCTTCAAGTCTCATCCAGACCATATTCAGACCTGCATCTGGATACCTGATGTTGACGGATTTCATCCTCTTTGCATGTTCGGACGACTCAGGGCCAAGCCATTTAATGAGAAGGTTTAATTCTTCACTAGCTAAAAGACCCAGGTCTCTGACGGTACACTGAAAAGTGGCTTTCCAGCTAAGATAGCTCTCTGGTTTATCATCAAATGCAGTGAGCCCTCCAGATACTAGCTGACTTTTTGCTAAAAACCTGGCAAGTTCATTGGTTGTGCTATTGGCACTGTTGGGTGTGGCTAACTGATTAGGTTGAACTGCATTGAGAGAAGCTTGGCGATTTCTGTCTCTATGTAGTGGTTGTTTGTCGCCATTTAGTGGCCATCCTGGGTATTGCATTTGTTCTTGTTTCTTTTGGAAAGGAGTGTATATCCTTCTTTGATATTGTTCATCTGGATATGTGTAACTGTTTAGAAGAGTACCTTTATTTTGAGAGGGATCTTCGTAACTGTGTTTGTTTATGTACTCACTCACTTTTTGGTCCACAGTTGGTTGTAAGGGCAAAAAACTCAACTCATCACTTCTCAATCGGTCCCCATACTGAGCTATTGCTGTCTCCATCACATCTGCTTTAGCTTTGGCAGCATCTGCTTCTTTTTGGAGGTTAAGCATTTCAAGAGTAGCTTCTAACCGTGCCTTTTCCACTTTAATGTCGATTTCTTTCACAGCATAGGCTAGTCTTGCTTTTGCAGCTTGAGCTTCTGCTTGTGCTGCAGCTAAACTTGCTCGGCTTGAAGTCGATGACCGTGAGGATGCTACAGATCGTACAGTCAGTTTTCCTGAATGTATGGAGGACTTGGATGAGTGAGAGGGGAAAGACTTCTTTTTTTCTTGTAACTTTTGTAGATTGTCTTTGTTTTCACTGTTTTCATTCATCATGATAGCGTTTAAGAATGAATGTGGCGTCTGCAGTTGTTGAATGAGTGTCTGCTTTTACCAGACGTTCACCGTGGTCCCTCGCAGAGCGCTATGATTTCACTGTACTGTTGCACCCAATGTGACCCAGTGTCCTAATTGAGATTCACAGGCAGCTAAACTCTTTAATGCATCATTTCCTCCAAGTAACAGGCAGGTGTTGTAGTGGACCAAGATTTAATGCAGAAAAGTGTGAAATTGCAAACACAAAATACAAAAAGGTATTCAGAATGCAGTAAAATAAAGTGTCTATATCAAAAAATACCAAACACAGTACTCAAAGGGTTAACCTTAGCTGGGCTCAGTAGAGTGAACACACATCACTATCCAAAATCTTCAATAAAGGTAATAAACGTTGCACATCTAACAACCATAGCTCACAAATAAAGTTCTAAACATGCATCTCAAACATAAAACTTACTCATATTGTCACTCAAAGGGATGGAAGTGAGTGGATGGCTTCTGATAGACAACACCTCATGGTTTGTTCACAGCACAGGTTTGTTTACTTCTGCCCCTTCTTCTTCTTCTTCTTTTTGTTGTTTAACGGCGGTTTGCAACCAGCTAAAGGAGCATTACCGCCTCCTACTGTTCTGGAGTATGGGTCAAACAGTGAACTCACAGGCTAAATCATGTATACAAAAATAAATAAATAATAATAATAATAATACAGAAATAAAGCAACATACAGTAGACCTTTGTCTTATACTCTATCAAAAACTCCTATACTCTTCAGAAACCCCACCAGATCTCTAATCTGTGCCCTACTACACTCCAGAACATTCTGCAGAGTGAACTCCCTTTTTCTCAGTTCCAACATTCTACTCTTCAAAACTTCTCTCTCCACATCATAACCCTTACACCGCAGGATTACATGCTCTACAGACTCCTCCTCCTCCTGACATGATTCACAAAGCCCTGTCTCATGTTTACCTATCATCTGTAATGTTTTATTTAGTGAGCAATGACCCACTCTAAGCCTGGTGATCACAACTTCTTCTCTCCTATTTCCCCTGTGCACTCCAAGCCCAGTCACTACCTTATTAATCTGATATAGGTGCCTGCCTTTAATTCCAGAATCCCACCGCTTCTGCCACTCCTTAACAACTTGTTGCCAAACAACACTTTTTGCTTCAGATTTGCTGCTTTTAATTTCCATTTCAATCTTATTTTTATTCAACGCTCCTTTTGCCAATCTGTCAACTTTTTCATTTCCACTGATACCTACATGAGCTGGCACCCAAAGAAATTGGACATTATTACCCCTACAACTTAGTCTGTATACATCGGCATCCACTCTGAAACCAGTCACCTCTCTGTATAAACAGGCAATTAAGATATTCGACAGGAAACCTTTGAGATGGCATCATTGTGATATCATACAAAAGCACAAGCTTTTTACTTTTGAAAACTTTGTACATTTTAGTATAATGAAATTGACTTTTAAATGTCTGAACAACTGTGTGTCACCACTGTTCTCTGGCCTCATGGTGAGGTTTCAGGGCTCTCTCAGACCCTCCACCAGAGCCTCAGTTAGCGGGGATTGTGTGCTCCCAAAGTTTAGAAAATCTTTTTGGACAGTCGAGCTTCTCCTTTAGAGGGGCTACACTGTGGAACTCTCTCCCCACTGCACTGAAACTGCAGAATAATATCAACATCTTTACCAGAGAGCTTAAACAGTGGCTCAAATCGGGCCAAACTTGTTCCCATGTTTAAAACATGTCTTATCTTGTTTAATAATGTGTTTTATTGTAACCTTGTTTCCTATGTGTGTTTTATTCTCTCGCTCTCTCTGGTCTCTCTCTGGTCTCTCTCTCTCTGGTCTCTCTCTCTGTAACCTCTGGTCTCTCTCTCTGGTCTCTAAAAGCCCTCTATGGTCAGGTCTCTCTGTCTCTCTCTGAAAATCTCTCTCTGGTCTCTCTCTGCTCTTGTCTCTCTCTCTGCTATAAACTCTTCTGGTCTCTCTCTCTGGTCTCTCTCTCTGGTCTCTCTCTCTGGTCTCTCTCTGGTCTCTCTCAATGGTTTCTCTCTGGTCTCTCTCTCTGGTCTCTCTCTGGTCTCTCTCTCTAGTCTCTCTCTCTGGTCTCTCTCTGGTCTCTCTCTCTGGTCTCTCTCTCTGGTCTCTCTCTGGTCTCTCTCTGGTCTCTCTCTGGTCTCTCTCTGGTCTCTCTCTGGTCTCTCTCTTTGGTCTCTCTCTCTGGTCTCTCTCTGGTCTCTCTCTCTGGTCTCTCTCTGGTCTCTCTCTGGTCTCTCTCTGGCCTCTCTCTGGTCTCTCTCTGATCTCTCTCTCTGATCTCTCTCTCTGATCTCTCTCTCTGATCTCTCTCTCTGATCTCTCTCTCTGGTCTCTCTTTGGTCTCTCTTTGGTCTCTCTCTCTGGTCGCTCTCTGGTCTCTCTCTGGTCTCTCTCTCTGGTCTCTCTCTGGTCTCTCTCTGGTCTCTCTCTCTAGTCTCTCTCTCTGGTCTCTTTGGTCTCTCTCTCTGGTCTCTCTCTGGTCTCTCTCTCTGGTCTCTCTCTCTGGTCTCTCTCTCTGGTCTCTCTCTCTGGTCTCTCTCTCTGGTCTCTCTCTGGTCTCTCTCTGGTCTCTCTCTGGTCTCTCTCTGGTCTCTCTTTGGTCTCTCTTTGGTCTCTCTCTCTGGTCGCTCTCTGGTCTCTCTCTGGTCTCTCTCTCTGGTCTCTCTCTGGTCTCTCTCTGGTCTCTCTCTCTGGTCTCTCTCTCTGGTCTCTCTTTGGTCTCTCTCTCTGGTCTCTCTCTGGTCTCTCTCTCTGGTCTCTCTCTCTGGTCTCTCTCTCTGGTCTCTCTCTGGTCTCTCTCTGGTTTCTCTCTGGTCTCTCTCTCTGGTCTCTCTCTGGTCTCTCTCTGGTCTCTCTCTCTAGTCTCTCTCTCTGGTCTCTCTCTCTGGTCTCTCTCTCTGGTCTCTCTCTCTGGTCTCTCTCTGGTCTCTCTCTCTGGTCTCTCTCTTTGGTCTCTCTCTCTGGTCTCTCTCTGGTCTCTCTCTGGTCTCTCTCTGGTCTCTCTCTGGTCTCTCTCTCTGGTCTCTCTCTGGTCTCTCTCTCTGGTCTCTCTTTGGTCTCTCTTTGGTCTCTCTCTCTGGTCGCTCTCTGGTCTCTCTCTCTGGTCTCTCTCTGGTCTCTCTCTCTGGTCTCTCTCTGGTCTCTCTCTGGTCTCTCTCTGGTCTCTCTCTCTGGTCTCTCTCTTTGGTCTCTCTCTCTGGTCTCTCTCTGGTCTCTCTCTGGTCTCTCTCTGGTCTCTCTCTCTGGTCTCTCTCTCTGGTCTCTCTCTCTGGTCTCTCTCTCTGGTCTCTCTCTCTGGTCTCTCTCTCTGGTCTCTCTGGTCTCTGGTCTCTCTCTCTGGTTTCTCTCTGGTCTCTCTCTCTGGTCTCTCTCTGGTCTCTCTCTAGTCTCTCTCTCTGGTCTCTCTCTCTGGTCTCTCTCTCTGGTCTCTCTCTCTGGTCTCTCTCTGGTCTCTCTCTGGTCTCTCTCTTTGGTCTCTCTCTCTGGTCTCTCTCTGGTCTCTCTCTCTGGTCTCTCTCTGGTCTCTCTCTGGTCTCTCTCTGGTCTCTCTCTGGTCTCTCTCTGGTCTCTCTCTCTGATCTCTCTCTCTGATCTCTCTCTCTGGTCTCTCTCTCTGGTCTCTCTCTGGTCTCTCTCTGGTCTCTCTCTCTGGTCTCTCTCTCTGGTCTCTCTTTGGTCTCTCTCTCTGGTCTCTCTCTGGTCTCTCTCTCTGGTCTCTCTCTCTGGTCTCTCTCTCTGGTCTCTCTCTGGTCTCTCTCTCTGGTCTCTCTCTGGTCTCTCTCTGGTCTCTCTCTGGTCTCTCTTTGGTCTCTCTTTGGTCTCTCTCTCTGGTCGCTCTCTGGTCTCTCTCTGGTCTCTCTCTCTGGTCTCTCTCTGGTCTCTCTCTGGTCTCTCTCTGGTCTCTTTCTGGTCTCTCTCTCTGGTCTCTCTCTCTGGTCTCTCTTTGGTCTCTCTCTCTGGTCTCTCTCTGGTCTCTCTCTCTGGTCTCTCTCTCTGGTCTCTCTCTCTCTGGTCTCTCTCTCTGGTCTCTCTCTCTGGTCTCTCTCTGGTCTCTCTCTGGTCTCTCTCTGGTCTCTCTCTCTGATCTCTCTCTCTGGTCTCTCTCTCTGGTCTCTCTCTCTCTGGTCTCTCTCTGGTCTCTCTCTCTGATCTCTCTCTCTGATCTCTCTCTCTGGTCTCTCTCTCTGGTCTCTCTCTCTGGTCTCTCTCTGGTCTCTCTCTGGTCTCTCTCTCTGGTTTCTCTCTGGTCTCTCTCTCTGGTCTCTCTCTGGTCTCTCTCTAGTCTCTCTCTCTGGTCTCTCTCTCTGGTCTCTCTCTCTGGTCTCTCTCTCTGGTCTCTCTCTGGTCTCTCTCTGGTCTCTCTCTTTGGTCTCTCTCTCTGGTCTCTCTCTGGTCTCTCTCTCTGGTCTCTCTCTGGTCTCTCTCTGGTCTCTCTCTGGTCTCTCTCTGGTCTCTCTCTCTGATCTCTCTCTCTGATCTCTCTCTCTGGTCTCTCTCTCTGGTCTCTCTCTGGTCTCTCTCTGGTCTCTCTCTGGTCTCTCTCTCTGGTCTCTCTCTCTGGTCTCTCTTTGGTCTCTCTCTCTGGTCTCTCTCTGGTCTCTCTCTCTGGTCTCTCTCTCTGGTCTCTCTCTCTGGTCTCTCTCTGGTCTCTCTCTCTGGTCTCTCTCTGGTCTCTCTCTGGTCTCTCTCTGGTCTCTCTTTGGTCTCTCTTTGGTCTCTCTCTCTGGTCGCTCTCTGGTCTCTCTCTGGTCTCTCTCTCTGGTCTCTCTCTGGTCTCTCTCTGGTCTCTCTCTGGTCTCTTTCTGGTCTCTCTCTCTGGTCTCTCTCTCTGGTCTCTCTTTGGTCTCTCTCTCTGGTCTCTCTCTGGTCTCTCTCTGGTCTCTCTCTCTGGTCTCTCTCTCTGGTCTCTCTCTCTGGTCTCTCTCTCTGGTCTCTCTCTCTGGTCTCTCTCTCTCTCTCTCTGGTCTCTCTCTCTGGTCTCTCTCTCTGGTCTCTCTCTGGTCTCTCTCTGGTCTCTCTCTGGTCTCTCTCTGGTCTCTCTCTGGTCTCTCTCTCTGGTCTCTCTCTGGTCTCTCTCTGGTCTCTCTCTGGTCTCTCTCTGGTCTCTCTTGGTCTCTAATGTTTGTATTTCCAGATGAAGTCACGCGTGATTTTGCGTACGGTGAGACTGACCCTCTCATCAGGAAGTGCCGCCTGTTGCCATGGAAACCTGTCAACCTCGATGACGTCAGCAGCGAAACCTCAGAGCCTCCAGACGAGTACTATCTGGTGAGTGTGACATCACCACAGTGTGACATCACCACAGCGTGACATCACCACAGTGTGACATCACCACAGTGTGACATCACCACAGTGTGACATCACCACAGTGTGACATCACCACAGTGTGACATCACCACAGTGTGACATCACCATTTTGGGCTGTCACACAAACTGAGCTAGAGGAGTTTACTTCAATGGGCTACATTTGTCGAGAAGGTTAGCATTGATCCAGCGGGTTAGCATTGAGCTAGTGGGTTAGCATTGAGCTAGTGGGTTAGCATTGAGCTTGCGGATTAGCATTGATCCAACGGGTTAGCATTGAGCTTGCGGGTTAGCATTGATCCAACGGGTTAGCATTGAGCTTGCGGGTTAGCATTGATCCAGCGGGTTAGCATTGAGCTTGCGGGTTAGCATTGATCCAACGGGTTAGCATTGAGCTTGCGGGTTAGCATTGATCCAGCGGGTTAGCATTGATCCAGCGGGTTAGCATTGAGCTAGTGAGTTAGCGGGTTAGCATTGAGTTAGCGGGTTAGCATTGAGCTAGCGGGTTAGCATTGAGTTAGCGGGTTAGCATTGAGCTTGCGGGTTAGCATTGAGCTAGCGGGTTAGCATTGAGCTAGCGGGTTAGCATTGAGTTAGCGGGTTAGCATTGAGCTTGCGGGTTAGCATTGAGTTAGCGGGTTTGCATTGAGTTAGTGGGTTAGCATTGTCTGTCTTCATACAGTCTATGCAATTTTGTTTTTGTGTTTGAAGACAATCGCGAGAGAAAACCAGGAGCAGATACCAGCAGAGATCCAGCCTTCTGCCTACGCCCCAGACCAGGTGTTCAAGTGAGAGACCAGAGAGACCAGAGAGACCAGAGAGACCAGAGAGACCAGAGAGAGACCAGAAGAGAGAGAGACCAGAGAGAGACCAGAGAGAGACCAGAGAGAGACCAGAGAGAGACCAGAGAGAGACCAGAGAGAGACCACAGAGAGAGACCACCAGAGAGAGACCACAGAGAGAGACCAGAGAGAGAGACCAGAGAGAGAGACCAGAGAGAGAGACCAGAGAGAGAGACCAGAGAGAGAGACCAGAGAGAGACGAGACCAGAGAGAGAGACCAGAGAGAGACCCAGAGAGAGACCAGAGAGAGACCAGAGAGAGACCAGAGAGAGAGACCAGAGAGAGAGACCAGAGAGAGAGACCAGAGAGAGAGACCAGAGAGAGAGACCAGAGAGAGAGACCAGAGAGAGAGACCAGAGAGAGAGACCAGAGAGAGAGACCAGAGAGAGAGACCAGAGAGAGACCAGAGAGAGACCAGAGAGAGACCAGAGAGGAGACCATGTGTGTTGTGTGTTTCAGAGTGTACTCAGAGCTGTCTCAGGTCAGTAAGAACCTGACTCACTCCAGGTTTGAATTGACGGAGGATCGAGACCAGGCAGACGTCCTCTGGGCCTACGGACACATCAAAGACTACAGGTACCAGGGACTACAGCGCCTACGGACACATCAAAGACTACAGGTACCAGGGACTACAGGGCCTACGGACACATCAAAGACTACAGGTACCAGGGACTACAGGTACTACAGGGCCTACGGACACATCAAAGACTACAGGTACCAGGGACTACAGGGCCTACGGACACATCAAAGACTACAGGTACCAGGGACTACAGGGCCTACGGACACATCAAAGACTACAGGTACCAGGGACTACAGGGCCTACGGACACATCAAAGACTACAGGTACCAGGGACTACAGGGCCTACGGACACATCAAAGACTACAGGTACCAGGGACTACAGGGCCTACGGACACATCAAAGACTACAGGTACCAGGTACTACAGGGCCTACGGACACATCAGAGACTACAGGTACCAGGGACTACAGGGCCTACGGACACATCAAAGACTACAGGTACCAGGTACTACAGGGCCTACGGACACATCAGAGACTACAGGTACCAGGGACTACAGGGCCTACGGACACATCAAAGACTACAGGTACCAGGGACTACAGGTACTACAGGGCCTATGGACACATCAAAGACTACAGGTACCAGGGACTACAGGTACTACAGGGCCTACAGACACATCAAAGACTACAGGTACCAGGGACTACAGGTACTACAGGGCCTATGGACACATCAAAGACTACAGGTACCAGGGACTACAGGTACTACAGGGCCTACGGACACATCAAAGACTTCAGGTACCAGGGACTACAGGTACTACAGGGCCTATGGACACATCAAAGACTACAGGTACCAGGGACTACAGGTACTACAGGGCCTACAGACACATCAAAGACTACAGGTACCAGGGACTACAAGTACTACAGGGCCTACGAACACATCAAAGACTACAGGGACTACAGGGCCTACGGACACATCAAAGACTATAGGTACCAGGGACTACAGGTACTACAGGGCCTACGGACAAATCAAAGACTACAGGGACTACGGACACCTCAAAGACTACGGACACCTCAAAGACTACGGACACATCAAAGACTACAGGTACCAGGGACTACGGACACCTCAAAGACTACAGGTACCAGGGACTACAGGTACCAGGGACTACAGGGACCAGGGACCAGGGACTACAGGTACTACAGGTACATCAAGGATTACAGGTACCAGGGACCACAGGGACTACAGGGACCAAGGACTACAGGTACCAGGGACTACAGGTACTACGGACACATCAAGGACTACAGGTACCAGGGACTACAGGGACATCAAGGACTACAGGTACCAGTGACTACGGGCACATCAAGGACTACAGGTACCAGGGACTACAGGGCCTACGGACACATCAAAGACTACAGGTACCAGGGACTACAGGGCCTACGGACACATCAAAGACTACAGGTACCAGGGACTACAGGTACTACAGGGCCTACGGACACATCAAAGACTACAGGGCCTACGGACACATCAAAGACTACAGGTACCAGGGACTACAGGTACTACAGGGCCTACGGACACATCAAAGACTACAGGGACTACGGACACCTCAAAGACTACAGGTACCAGGGACTACGGACACATCAAAGACTACAGGTACCAGGTACTACGGACACATCAAAGACTACAGGTACCAGGGACCAGGGCCTACGGACACATCGAAGACTACAGGGACTACAGGTACCAGGGACTACAGGTACTACAGGTACATCAAGGATTACAGGTACCAGGGACTACAGGGACCACAAGGACTACAGGGACATCAAGGACTACAGGGACCAGAGAGACTACAGGTACCAGGGACTACAGGGACATCAAGGACCACAGGTACCAGGGACTACAGGTACTACGGACACATCAAGGACTACAGGTACCAGGGACTACAGGTACCAGTGACTACGGGCACATCAAGGACTACAGGGACTAAAGGGTACTACAGGCATATCAAGGACTACAGGTAGTATGGACCATAGGGACTACAGGGAAATAAAGGACTACAGGTACCAGTGACTACGGCACATCAAGGACTACAGGTACCAGGGACCACAGGCACATCAATGACTACAGGTACCATGGACCATAGGGACTACAGGGACATCAAGGACTACAGGTACTACGGGCACATCAAGGACTACAGGTACCAGGGCCTACGGACACATCAAAGACTACAGGTACCAGGGACTACAGGTACTACAGGGCCTACGGACACATCAAAGACTACAGGGACTACGGACACATCAAAGACTACAGGTACGAGGGACTACGGACACATCAAAGACTACAGGTACCAGGGACTACAGGGACCAGGGCCTACGGACACATCAAAGACTACAGGTACCAGGGACTACAGGGACCAGGGACTACAGGTACTACAGGTAAATCAAGGACTACAGGTACCAGGGACTACAGGGACCACAGGGACTACAGGGACCAGAGAGACTACAGGTACCAGGGACTACAGGGACATCAAGGACCACAGATACCAGGGACTACAGGGACCAAGGACTACAGGTACCAGGGACTACAGGGACATCAAGGACTACAGGTACCAGTGACTACGGGCACATCAAGGACTACAGGTACGAGGGACTACGGACACATCAAAGACTACAGGTACCAGGGACTACAGGGACCAGGGCCTACGGACACATCAAAGACTACAGGTACCAGGGACTACAGGGATCAGGGACTACAGGTACTACAGGTACATCAAGGACTACAGGTACCAGGGACTACAGGGACCACAGGGACTACAGGGACCAGAGAGACTACAGGTACCAGGGACTACAGGGACATCAAGGACCACAGGTACCAGGGACTACAGGGACCAAGGACTACAGGTACCAGGGACTACAGGTACTACGGACACATCAAGGACTACAGGTACCAGGGACTACAGGCACATCAAGGACTACAGGTACCAGTGACTACAGGTACTACCGGCACATCAAGGACTACAGGTACCATGGACCACAGGGACTACAAGGACTACAGGGACTATGGGCACATCAAGGACTACAGGGACCAGAGAGACTACAGGGACCCGAGAGCAGAGAGAGACCCCCTCACTCCCTCACCTCCTCTCTCTCCCTGCAGGAGGCTCAGTGAGCAGCGCCCGCACCTCCTCCTGAACCAGTTTCCGTGTGAGCACCTCCTCACGGTGAAGGACTGTCTGAGCTCCGTGAGCCGCAGGCTGCAGCGCCACCTCCTCCCCCTGACCTTCAACCTCCAGACGGAGCTCCCATGCTTCATCAGCTGCTACCAGGAGCGAGAGAGGAGGTGAGACCCTGCACCTCCTGCTGCACCTCCTATGTTTGGGACCAGAGCTGAGGACCTGGTCTCTCACACCTGTGAGTGGATCTCAGAGAGAGACCAGAGGGAGAGAGACCAGAAGAGGGAGAGAGACCAGAGGGAGAGAGACCAGAGGGAGAGAGACCAGAGGGAGAGAGACCAGAGGGAGAGAGACCAGAGGGAGAGAGACCAGAGGGAGAGAGACCAGAGGGAGAGAGACCAGAGGGAGAGAGACCAGAGGGAGAGAGACCAGAGGGAGAGACCTTCCTGGTTCTTTGTGCAGAGGTGAAGATAACCACTGGATCATGAAGCCGTGGAACTTGGCCCGAGGTCTGGACACTCACATCAGCAACAACCTGAACTTCATCATCAGGCAGCGAGAGAGTACACCCAAGGTGAGAGAGACCAGGGGAGGCAACTGGGGAGGCACCGGGGGAGAGACCGGGGGAGAGACCGGGGGAGAGACCGGGGGAGAGACCGGGGGAGAGACTGGGTTTGAATAACACATGTTTAAAGCTCAGGTCTGTAACTTCAGTCTGAATAACACATGTTTAAAGCTCAGGTCTGTAACTTCAGTCTGAATAACACATGTTTAAAGCTCAGGTCTGTAACTTTAGTCTGAATAACACATGTTTAAAGCTCAGGTCTGTAACTTTAGTCTCAATAACACATGTTTAAAGCTCAGGTCTGTAACTTTAGTCTGAATAACTCATGTTTAAAGCTCAGGTCTGTAACTTGTGTTGTCACTTTAATCAAATGCAGGAATGCAACACAACAGCCGCACACCAGGAGAGCGACACACACCAGCTCTGCGCTTCATGGTCCTCTTTGTGTTTCAATTTAATTTATTCTTTTGTCGCTGTTGATTCATCAGAGAATCAGAAACACACCAGACCAGAGGACGGACCAGAGGACGGACCAGAGGACGGACCAGAGGACGGACCAGAGGACGGACCAGAGGACGGACCAGAGGACGGACCAGAGGACGGACCAGAGGACGGACCAGAGGACGGACCAGAGGACGGACCAGAGGACGGACCAGAGGACGGACCAGAGGACGGACCAGAGGACGGACCAGAGGACGGCATTAGGTCACTTCCTGTCGAAGGATGAAATGTGATACGACCCAAACCAGGTGACTAGCAAGCCCCACACTTGCTGCTTTCAGACCGCCAACGCTGAAACACTGACGCCTCGCTCACCAGACGCACATTCTCTAGTTTTCAGACCAGAGGTCCTGGTGCGCGCCGGTGTTCTGTGGAGTTGGTCTGCCCGTCGAGATGATCTGGCTCAGCTGTTAATGATGTAATGCAAACCTGCGTCTCACGGCAGCCGAAGCAATCCAAGATGGCGGACATGTAGTCCGCGAATTGCTTTAAAAGTTAAATACAAACGAGTTAAGACACGAATGTCACTTTTAATGCAATTTGAGGCAAGATGTTGATGGTTCTGCGTTGTGATATGTGTGTTTTAAGAGTAAGAGTTTCGTGTAAAGTTTGTTTAAGCAGTTCACTGCTCCTGTGAAACTACACTGCTGCTGTGTGAGAGCAGTCATATTGACTCCTGTGGAACCACACAGCTGCTGTGTGAGAGCAGTCATATTGACTCCTGTGGAACCACACTGCTGCAGTGTGATCGCAGTCATATTGACTCCTGTGAAACTACACAGCTGCTGTGTGATAGTCATATTGACTCCTGTGAAACTACACAGCTGCTGTGTGATAGCAGTCATATTGACTCCTGTGGAACCACACAGCTGCTGTGTGACAGCAGTCATATTGACTCCTGTGGAACCACACAGCTGCTGTGTGATAGCAGTCATATTGACTCCTGTGGAACCACACAGCTGCTGTGTGACAGCAGTCATATTGACTCCTGTGGAACCACACAGCTGCTGTGTGACAGCAGTCATATTGACTCCTGTGGAACCACACAGCTGCTGTGTGATAGCAGTCATATTGACTCCTGTGGAACCACACAGCTGCTGTGTGAGAGCAGTCATATTGACTCCTGTGGAACCACACAGCTGCTGTGTGATAGCAGTCCCTGAGTTGACTGCTGCAGACGTCAGGCCCATGACGCGTCCTGTGACTGGTCTGTCGTGTTGATAATGGAAATAATAAATTAAATTTAATGCATGTATCATACTGTTTTTAATATGATTAACAATAGTGTGTTCAAACAAAATATTTAATTAGATCGAGTTTTTTCCCCATTCTGGCGGGTTTGTGCGCATTTGGGCACACTAGCAGTGTAGTTTCACAGGATCAGTGGACTGCTTAAAACAAACTTTACACGAAACTCTTACTCTAAAAACACATATCACAACACGGAACCATCAACATCTCGCCTCAGATTGCATTAAAAGTGACATTCGTGTCTTAATTAGTTAGTATTTTAACTTTTAAAGCAATTCGTGGACTACATGTCCGCCATCTTGGATTGCTTTGGGACGCACAGACGCGCAGCGCTGGTTTGCATTACATCATTAACAGCTGAGCCAGATCATCTCGACGGGCAGACCAACTCCACAGAACACCGGAAGTGGCGGAAGTAGCCGGCGGGCTTTGATGCTAACAGAATTTAGCTAGCGGCTTCTTGTGTACAGATCTTCTCCAATAATGCAGCTCTGCAGCGTGTCTGTGTCTGAGACCTTCACAGACTTTATATAACAGCAGTATGTGTTCACGGAGAGGTGACTTTATATAACAGCAGTATGTGTTCACGGAGAGGTGACTTTATATAACAGCAGTATGTGTTCACGGAGAGGTGACTTTATATAACAGCAGTATGTGTTCACGGAGAGGTGACTTTATATAACAGCAGTATGTGTTCACGGAGAGGTGACTTTATATAACAGCAGTATGTGTTCACGGAGAGGTGACTTTATATAACAGCAGTATGTGTTCACGGAGGTGACTTTATATAACAGCAGTATGTGTTCACGGAGGTGACTTTATATAACAGCAGTATGTGTTCACGGTGACTTTATATAACAGCAGTATGTGTTCACGGAGGTGACTTTATATAACAGCAGTATGTGTTCATGGAGGTGACTTTATATAACAGCAGTATGTGTTCACGGAGGTGACTTTATATAACAGCAGTATGTGTTCACGGAGGTGTCTTTATATAACAGTAGTATGTGTTCACGGAGGTGACTTTATATAACAGCAGTATGTGTTCACGGAGGTGACTTTATATAACAGCAGTATGTGTTCACGGAGGTGACTTTATATAACAGCAGTATGTGTTCACGGAGGTGACTTTATATAACAGCAGTATGTGTTCACGGAGGTGACTTTATATAACAGCAGTATGTGTTCACGGAGGTGACTTTATATAACAGCAGTATGTGTTCACGGTGACTTTATATAACAGCAGTATGTGTTCACGGAGGTGACTTTATATAACAGCAGTATGTGTTCATGGAGGTGACTTTATATAAAAGCAGTTTGTGTTCACGGAAGTGACTTTATATAACAGCAGTATGTGTTCACGGTGACTTTATATAACAGTAGTATGTGTTCACGGAGGTGACTTTATATAACAGCAGTATGTGTTCACGGAGGTGACTTTATATAACAGCAGTATGTGTTCACGGTGACTTTATATAACAGCAGTATGTGTTCACGGAGGTGACTTTATATAACAGCAGTATGTGTTCATGGAGGTGACTTTATATAACAGTAGTATGTGTTCACGGAGGTGACTTTATATAACAGCAGTATGTGTTCACGGTGACTTTATATAACAGCAGTATGTGTTCACGGAGGTGACTTTATATAACAGCAGTATGTGTTCACAGTGACTTTATATAACAGCAGTATGTGTTCACGGAGGTGACTTTATATAACAGCAGTATGTGTTCACGGTGACTTTATATAACAGCAGTATGTGTTCACGGAGGTGACTTTATATAACAGCAGTATGTGTTCACGCAGGTGACTTTATATAACAGCAGTATGTGTTCACGGAGGTGACTTTATATAACAGCAGTATGTGTTCACGGTGACTTTATATAACAGCAGTATGTGTTGACGGAGGTGACTTTATATAACAGCAGTATGTGTTCATGGAGGTGACTTTATATAACAGCAGTATGTGTTCATGGAGGTGACTTTATATAAAAGCAGTTTGTGTTCACGGAAGTGACTTTATATAACAGCAGTATGTGTTCACGGTGACTTTATATAACAGTAGTATGTGTTCACGGAGGTGACTTTATATAACAGCAGTATGTGTTCACGGAGGTGACTTTATATAACAGCAGTATGTGTTCACGGTGACTTTATATAACAGCAGTATGTGTTCACGGAGGTGACTTTATATAACAGCAGTATGTGTTCACGGAGGTGACTTTATATAACAGCAGTATGTGTTCACGGTGACTTTATATAACAGCAGTATGTGTTCACGGAGGTGACTTTATATAACAGCAGTATGTGTTCACGGTGACTTTATATAACAGCAGTATGTGTTCACGGAGGTGACTTTATATAACAGCAGTATGTGTTCACGGAGGTGACTTTATATAACAGCAGTATGTGTTCACGGAGGTGACTTTATATAACAGCAGTATGTTGTTCACGCAGGTGACTTTATATAACAGCAGTATGTGTTCACGGAGGTGACTTTATATAACAGCAGTATGTGTTCACGGAGGTGACTTTATATAACAGCAGTATGTGTTCACGGAGGTGACTTTATATAACAGCAGTATGTGTTCACGGAGGTGACTTTATATAACAGCAGTATGTGTTCACGCAGGTGACTTTATATAACAGCAGTATGTGTTCACGGAGGTGACTTTATATAACAGCAGTATGTGTTCACGGTGACTTTATATAACAGCAGTATGTGTTGACGGAGGTGACTTTATATAAAAGCAGTTTGTGTTCACGGAAGTGACTTTATATAACAGCAGTATGTGTTCACGGTGACTTTATATAACAGCAGTATGTGTTCACGGAGGTGACTTTATATAACAGCAGTATGTGTTCACGGTGACTTTATATAACAGCAGTATGTGTTCACGGAGGTGACTTTATATAACAGTAGTATGTGTTCACGGAGGTGACTTTATATAACAGCAGTATGTGTTCACGGTGACTTTATATAACAGCAGTATGTGTTCACGGAGGTGACTTTATATAACAGCAGTATGTGTTCACGGAGGTGACTTTATATAACAGCAGTATGTGTTCACGGAGGTGACTTTATATAACAGCAGTATGTGTTCACAGAGGTGACTTTATATAACAGCAGTATGTGTTCACGGAGGTGACTTTATATAACAGCAGTATGTGTTCACGGAGGTGACTTTATATAACAGCAGTATGTGTTCACGGAGGTGACTTTATATAACAGCAGTATTTGTTCACGGAGGTGACTTTATATAACAGTAGTATGTGTTCAGATTCAGATTCATATTCAGTTTATTTGCCATTTGCAGTAAAACCACATTGGAATACATTAGCGAAAAGTCTCCAGTGTGCACAGACAAATACAGACATAAAACAACATTAAAAGACAAAAATAAAACAGTAAACAAAAGTCACTGTGAAATGGATCGACTAAAACAGTTTCAAAACAAGTGCAAATCATTAAAGTGCTCTGTTCACACTGATAACAGCCTGTGGATAAAAACTGTTAGCGTAACGAGATGTCCTGCATCTCAGAGAGCAATATCTTCTGCCAGAGGGAAGAAGCTGGAACATGGCTTTCCCAGGGTGGCCAGAAGAGTCATTAACAATCCTAAGAGCTTTGTTTAAAAGTCTGGATTTATAAAGAACCTCCAGAACAGGAAGCTCACAGCCCACGGTCCTCTTTGCAGAGCGGAGCACCTTGTTTAAAGCTCTCTTTTCTTTATCTGTGATGTTTCCAAACCACACAGACACAGAACCAACAAGTAAACTCTCAATGGTGCAGCCATAAAAGTTGAGCACAATCTTAGAGTTAGTGGTAAATTCTCTAAGTTTACGCAGAAAGTAGAGACGCTGACGAGCTTTCTTAACGACTCGGTCAGTGTTTTTAACCCATTTCAGGTTAGACAGAGTTAAACCCAGAAACTTGCTCCTCTACGATCTGCACCTGGGAGTTGTCGATTACGACAGACAA